CCATGTGCAGAATTCGTGGCAGGCGCAGCACTTTGTGAACCTCCATGCTCCGTTAGAGGCTCTGGCTGTTGCGTTGTCGGCGGTTGTCTGCGGTGGTCGCCGGTCCGTTCCTCCATTGTGATTGGAGTTTTCACTTGTTTCTTGACGTGCAGAAGTCGTGGCAGGCGCAGCACTTTGTGAACCTCCGTGTGGAGATTTCGTGGCAGGCACAGCACTTTGTGAACCTCCATGTGTAGATTCCGTGGCAGGCACAGCACTTTGTGACCCTCCATGTGCAGATTTCGTGGCAGGCGCAGCGCTTTGTGAACCTCCGTGTGCAGATTTCGTGGCAGGCACAGCGCTTTGTGAACCTCCATGTGTAGATGAAAAAGAGCTTGGCTATAGAGTTTTACGTCGGCAGCGCGATGGGGTTTTACTTCGGCTGGTTGTGGCTGTACACACATGTCTGCGCAATACCTCGTACATCTGCTCTGCACATTACTCTCCCACACCTCTCTCCCACCCCTCTGTTGTCAAGGCCTGGACACAGAGCCCAACCACACAGCCCAGCCACAGAGTTGACAGATATTAGGGCACGGCCAAGAGGAGGACAAGATGAGGACAAGGCCTGGACACACAACCCAGCCACAGAGTTGTTCAGGGACGCGGCCAAGAGGAGGACAAGGCCTGGACACAGAGCCCAGCCGCAGAGCCCACCCACAGAGTTGACAGAGTTCAGGAGGACAAGGCCTGGACACAGAGCCCAGCCACAGAGCCCAGCCACATAGTTGACAGAGTTCAGGAGGACGCCTGGACACAGAGCCCAGCCACACAGCCCAGCCACAGAGTTGAGCCCAGCCACAGAGGACAAGGGCTGGACACAGAGCCCAGCCACACAGCCCGACAGAGTTCATGGGGCGCGGGCAAGAGGAGGACAGGGCCTGGACACAGAGCCCAGCCACGAAGCCCCACCACAGAGTTGACAGAGTTCACGGGCCCGGCCAAGAGAAGGACAACAGAAGGGCAAGGCCTGGACACAGAGCCCTGCCACAGAGTTAGTTCAGGGGCGCGGCCAAGAGGAGGACAAGGCCTGGACACAGAGCCCAGCCACAGAGTTGACAGAGTTCAGGGGCGCGGCCAAGAGAAGGACAACAGGAGGGCAAGGCCTGGACACAGAGCCCGGCGCGGCCAAGAGGAGGACAAGAGGAGGACAAGGCCTGGACACAGAGCCTGGACACAGAGCCCAACCACACAGCCCAGCCACAGAGTTGACAGAGTTCAGGGCACGGCCAAGAGAAGGACAAGATGAGGACAAGGCCTGGACACACAACCCAGCCACAGAGTTGTTCAGGGACGCGGCTAAGAGGAGGACAAGGCCTGGACACAGAGCCCAGTTACAGAGTTGACAGAGTTGAGGGGCGCGGCCATGAGAAGGACAACAGGAGGGCAAGGCCTGGACACAGAGCCCCGCCACAGAGCCCAACCACAGAGTTGACAGAGTTCAGGGGCGCGGCCAAGAGGAGGCCAAGAGGAGGACAAGGCCCAGCCACAGAGTTGACAGAGTTCAGGGGCGCGGAGGACAAGAGGAGGACAAGGCCCAGCCACAGAGCCCAGCCACAGAGTTCAGGGGCGCGGTCAAGAGGAGGACAAGGCCCAGCCACAGAGCCCAGCCACAGAGTTGACAGAGTTCAGGGGAGGGGCCAAGAGGAGGACAAGGCCCAGCCACAAAGCCCAGCCACAGACTTCAGGGGCGCGGCCAGTGAGTGTGGCCAGCTCTTTTCTTTCTATCATAGAACCCCAACAGTAAACTGTTTGGGGAAATTATACTTTCTATGGGTCTATATTTTTACTTCAATATCAATATCAATATCAATACATCTTAAACACAAAGTTTAAGTCAACAAAAGCAAAAATCAGCAAAACCGTTTTGGTACACAGATGTGGGGGTATGTAGATGTCCTTTACCAAACTACACAAACCCAATTGTCTCAAAGCTACATGTCTTTAACAAAATGTTCTTACGTTGCTAAACTGTAACATTGTTGCCCGCAGCATGGAAGTGTCTCTGCCAAGCTTCCTTTGACATGTTCTCAAGGACGCTCTTGCTCAAAGTTCACTCAACATCTTCCAGGACATTCTTGCGGGACACTCTTGCACAACACTCTTGCTTGACACGCTTCCAAAATGAGCGTTTCGTGCGAGAGTTCTTCACAAGTCACGCCGGCAATCACTAAAACGAGCATTTCGTATGAGACTTTCAAAAGCCACGCGCAGATTCATACCAGATCTTTTCTAAGAAGAACATCTTCAAAGACACATTTCTACAAGACTTGTGCGCAAATTTTCAACTCGCCAGTGTCCGTTCCCTGAAGAAATAATATCCCCAATCTGCGCTCGCATCGCTCATTCACAAGTGTGTCCGAGCATGCGGAGCTCTCTCGTGCAACTTTCCCTATCTCGGAACTTTCTGAACTAGAAATCCTGTGACGAATTGCTATAACAAAATTTGTACATCTATTTTGGCGGTCTTTTCAACCTTCAACATGGATGATTTGATTAGCCTGGCCACAGGTCATCAGTGTAAACCTTGGCGCGATGCGATGCGTTGTTTGCTCGTTTTAAAGGCAGCACGTATTTTCGACCGGTTGGAGTTTGTGTGAAGGTCTCAAATGTAAAAACCATGTCGGTCTGGCCCAAAGCACGATGAATATGCAGTTACCAGCTACTGATCGGGGTGTAGTCAAGTATGCTTCCAACAATTGCAGCAATACTCATTCAAAGTCATCATTTCTTGAGGTTTATGTTGCTTGCAAACCTGGAAGGACATGGGGCCTTGAGTAACGCCGTGAGCTCCCATGTGTACACCTAGAGGTCGTTTGGAAGGCCCACTTGCTTTTGACAGATGATCTAAGGAGCCTGAGAGAGAAACCACTATGTCCCCCACCACTCTTCAAGTCGATTGGAAGTCCGTCGCCACAAATTGAAGCAGTCAGCAGTCTACCACGGGCGCGAGTTCTTTGCCACGCTACAGTCCACATGTCTCCTTACACTAGTCTTGGAACCCTCGACTGATTTTTGCCACAGCATCGCTTTCTTCTTTGCCTTTTTAACTTCTATGTTTTGATGTCTCTCCACTTCCCCGCCCACGTTAGCTCCCACCAGCGTGATCGTCTCAAAAGAGAAGTGCCAAGCAGCCATCAGCACGAAGGAGACTGTCACGAACTGGCACTGAAGTCCATGCTGGTGATTATATTTTGGAGAGAGGAATGAGTGCCGGAAAACACCAATGTTCCATGCTTCAACCAGGTGTAGAAATGTTAGCCATATTTATTCTCTGATCATGTTGGATCATAGAAAACGACCTATGCTGAAACATGATGTTGTCTATGATGCAGGAACCTCGTCTTTCCGTTCGGTCGTGTTTTTACTTGTGTCGGGTGATGCTCAACCACAGTTGTCTGGAGTCAGAATCTGGAGGCCCAAACGGGCCCAAGTGACCAGCCACGCCCAAAGAACGAGCACTCAGAGTGAATGCGCACGTGGACACTCTCCAAAAACCAGTTGTTTTGTTTGAACCTTCACCAGCCGCTTGCCAACGCTTTAGCCAGGAGAGCTGCCAGAATCCGGAGCAACACCGTGCCAGTCTCTTTGACGGTGGTCAGACTCAGCCTGAGCCAGCCGAGACCCAACAACCCTCAGGCGGCGACAAGGCTCAAAGTGTTCTTGGCGATGTGCGAGATGTAGGTCCCTGGGTGCCCCGATTTTTTGCAGTTCTGAACATCAATTTTCGTCGCGCTTACATTCGGTAGTCACATGTCAAATCAAGCACCTGTGTGTTGATGGCGGAGTCGCTTCAAAACTGATGGTTCTAGAAGGTGTTTCATCTCTGCAAAAAGGTGCATGCCTCGAGGCAGCACAATATCCACCGCCAAACCGCAACTACTGGAGGACTGCGCAGGTGACCGTGTTTCGCGGTATTTGACACAAGCTTACACACTCGGGTCTTTGGACTTTCTCTCCAACATCCGATTGCGTGGCACTGATGGGTGACAGTGTGAGCATTTGCTGCTTTCATCACAACGTGGCCTCGAATGCGCTTCCAATATGACGATTTCAGTAATGGTATGAGGTAATCCCATCGAGTTGTGTATGAGTGTGGCTTGCTTGATTACTTTCAGCCCAAGGGCTGCTGCTGCTGCCGCCGCTGCTGCTGTGACGGCATTTCCCTTTCCGCCTGGGTACGCTGTTGATATTTGTAGTTTCTTGAGCTCACGAGATTTGTTTGATTGATTTGATAGTTTGCTAGATTTGGAGACGCCCACACAAGGAGACCTGCTCCGAGATCAACGAGAACCGAAAGCAGAACCCTGAAAGGAAGGCGGAAAGGTGCCCGGAACAAAAGCCGAATCCTGAATCAAGAAACTGTGGTTTGACGCAGCCACATGTTGAAAAACAACATGCAGGTCGGAAAAATAACCACCATCAAAAAGCAACTGATGAAAAACAACATCGGGCATCCGAAAGAGGAGAGCGCATGCAAGGCGGAGGCGGGAAAACCGAAAACCAAATCCCAAAAAGGGACCTCGAGGAAGGCGCAAGGTGGAGGCAGGAGGTGCCGCGAACACCGAAAGCCAAATGCCAAAAAACATCCAAAACTAAATCCCGCTAAACAAACCAAAACTAAGAAAGCCAAACACCAAACGCTACACAAACCAATGCCAACCAAACCCACCAAACCCTAAACGAAAGCCTGCCGAGTCTCGAGTCAAGAGGTTAAATGTAAACTTGAGACAGCGAATTGCCATCCCAGTCGTGGATTACGCAGATGTAGCTTGAGGATGCAATAGGAGGTCAGCAAAAGACCACATTCAGCAAAGAACAACAAGAGTAGCTACATGTTTGAATCGCATTGTCCTAAGTATTGCATACTTGGGACTCCAAAGCTCTTGGAACTGGATGGACTTCCATTTTAAACACAAAGGGACGCTGTGGGGGTCGCGTTCTTCTGGTTTCACACTGCTATGGAACTGTACTTCTTCAATGTTCAATATTTTGTGTTTTGCTGGGGCCACCCACAACCCAAAAGCAAAGACTCTGAAAGGATACTTGTTACATACCGAAACACAATGAGCCTAGAGTCTAGACCTGCAAAGACTAATCCTCACAAGAATCTTATATGCATATCAAGAACAAATCTGTCGAAGCTTCATTGTGAATGAAACGCGCCCAAATGTCTGCTCTGTGTGTGTGTGTGTAACCCTTGGAGTCATAGGGATGCTTTTGCATTTATTTTTTTGTTTTATCGCAGGGGGATGCCGGGGATTTCCATGGTCGGCATCCAACGAAGACACCATGGATTTCCTGTGATATGAGTCAGGGACGCCTGACTCACGTACCTGCCTTTTCCTTGTACTGAATGGCATGAGGCTAAGCCCAGGACCTCAATAGCTGCAGACATGCACGGAACGCCGTCAACCTGTCGCCTCGTCGGTTCGTGGCCTTTAACTACAGGAACTCTGGCCCCCTTCACCTGGTTTTTCAGGATTTGGGTCTCTTAGGCCGGCGTGTGGCACCGCAATCAAGTCAGTACGCATATCCCTGAGTGTGTTTGGCTTCGTGCCAACCCGGGATGAGCCCGCAGAGTGCCTCCCGTGGACCCGTCGAACGGGTGTATGTCGACAGTATCCATTGCCCGGATACAGAGCAGCTCGCAGCGAGCGTAGGTGGCCTAGGCCGTACGTCCGATGATTTTTGTCCCATCTTTGGAATTCCAAGTTGGCTCATGCCTTTACGTGACCGCAGCGGTCAAAGCAGCCAGCCATTTCGGCAGGGCACAAGGTGACCAGGGCGGTCAAAGTATTTTGAGGTTCATTGGAACCTGTCGCGAGCTTAGTCCCCCTCCTCCCCCTTCCCTTCCCCTTTCTTTCTTTGCTTTCTGGGGTTTTCCTGAATGGAATACTCAGGATCTCCCCTCTCTTTCTTTGGTGTGTCCCTGGACGATTGTTCGTAGCTGGGAACACCTTCCTTTCTCTCCTCTCCCTCTCTCTCCCTCTCTCTTTCTTTCCTTCTCTCTTTCCTCTCTTTTCCCTCTTCCTTGGGTGTCCCTGGATGCTTTCGTCATAGCTGGGAACCCTTTTCCTTTCTTCCTTTGGTGTGTCCCTGGACGCTTGTGTCGTAGCTGGGAACACCTTCTTCCCCTTTTCTTTCTTCTCTTTCTTTTTCTCTTCTCTCCCTACCCCTTCCTCCCGTCGGGACCTTAGTGTGGGTTGCTACTAGGGGCTCCTGGCCTTTCTACTAGGACGCTACTTTGGTGCTTCTAGGGGTTCCTGGCCTTACTACTAGGCGCAAGGATGCTCTAGGGCAGAGATGCCTCCCCTCGGGGAGGCGTGTGTGTGTAACCCTCGGATTCATAGGGATGCTTTTGCATTTATTTTTTTTGTTTTATCGCAGGGGGATGCCGGGGATTTCCATGGTCGGCATCCAACGAAGACACCACGGATTTCCTGTGATATGAGTCAGGGACGCCTGACTCACGTACCTGCCTTTTCCTTGTACTGAATGGCGTGAGGCTAAGCCCAGGACCTCAATAGCTGCAGACATGCACGGAACGCCGTCCACCTGTCGCCTCGTCGGTTCGTGGCCTTTAACTACAGGAACTCTGGTCCCCTTCACCTGGTTTTTCAGGATTTGGGTCTCTTAGGCCGGCGTGTGGCACCGCAATCAAGTCAGTACGCATATCCATGAGTGTGTGCACACCTTGGATTCGTAGATAACTTGTTGGTTTCAATCAGCAGGGGGGCAAGGCCTCCAGCGATGAAGCTTGTCCAACGAAGCTAAGTCGATCGAGGGGAAGTGGGTGGAGAGGTCCATTCGTGTACCTGCAATGTTTGTGAGTCGTGTGAGTGTTGTAATCACCTTCCACTCGCAAAGGTTTTCAGTCTGTTGCAGAATGATTCAGGTCTGCAGATGTGCGCTCGCCGTTCGCTCTCTCGGTTTTCGATCATGTGGCATTTCTCTGAAACTTGCTGAACTTCGATCATTTCGGCTTCGATCATTTTGGAGAATTCACGTGTCCTACTACCCCTGGTTTCTCAGTTCTTTTTTAACTTAGGCTTGCAAGTGGCATGCGGCATTTACTTTTATCCTGAGTCTGTGCGCGTGTGCTTGATGCTGACCAAACTCTCTCTGGATGCTTCCCAGATTCGAGTCAGTGGTGATTGCGGTCATGTCTCTGCTTTCAATACCTTCATGCCGTTGATGGGGATGGTGTGCTTGTGGCAAGATTGGAGCTGGCAGAACCTTGTTCCAGGGTAGCCCAAAGGGGTGGGGGAAGTACTGTTATCAAATGCTGATTCAAGCCAGAAGCAAGTCTGGCCTTTGGTCTATCACATTGAGGGTAGGTTCAGAAATCGAAGAGAAGCTTTTGAATGCTTTCGCCAAAAGCTGCGTACTGCTATCGTGGTGGCCACCAGGCACCAAAAGAGAAATGCGCTGTGCGCCTGTGAGTGATACACCTGGTGTCACAGGATCTGATGGCCTGATGATTTTCGATGGCACCCCATACTGAGTTGCAGGCAGCCACAGCACCAAGAAACCGCTGAAGCCTGCAGTCTTCAACATCTTCATAAAGTCCTTGATCCTTTGAGTTATAAGACGGACTGCGTATTCTTTCATGCAAACGAGCAGAACACTCCATGATTTCAAAAGTCAGAAAAACGAGTATTTCTTAGTCGGATTTCGCAGCAAACAGCCCCATGAAAATAGACTGACATGGCAGTAGATATCCTGCATGTTGCCCGGGACAGGTTTTAATGCAGAATACTGGCACAAAAGCTTCCATGTGTATACTCCAGCGCACAATTCCATCCAGAGTTACAGTTACATTGATCTTTTGCAATGGTGTTTGCATAGGCGACCCGGCAAGTATGAGCAACTTCCCCGCTCAGTCAAGGTGCCGACATTGCACCGTAAATGTCCATCTGAATCAATCCAAAAGGGGCGGCTACAGCCTTGTAAATGGAGACGCCTCTGCTTGCCTCTTGCAGCACGGGAAGGGGTCAAATTTTTTCCAAATCGACGGGGGCAATGCCATTGCAGGTGTTGCACAACCAGAAAGACCACACACCCTGCGATCTGGACAGAATCCACCTGACAAGGGCAACCCGTACAGGCTGTTCCAACCAAACACCCACAACTTGCCCTGCCAACCCTCCCTCCCTCGCCGATGCAAAAGAGCACCAGGAGCTGCAAGGGCACAGGTGCTCCAAGCGCCTTAGGGGAGAGATTTCGGAGTGGCCGGCGGTTTTCTGACATCTCTCCAAAGAAGTCTTTCGGGCTTCAAACTAGAACCCAGCACCTTTGTGCTTTGGGTGGAACCCCCACGGAACATGAAGTCACATTCCAATCTTCAATGGACGTATTGCCGCAGGAGCACATCATCCGATGATTGATCCGATGCACGCCATATCGAACACCCGAGACCGCCGAGCTGTCATTTGTCCAAAACCAAGATTACCTATGCTTTCTAGTCTGCAGATCCCACTTCCACATCCATAGGGACACTCTCGGCTTGAACTATTTCCGACAACTCAGGCATGCTATGCGGTGAATCTCAATTCTCCTGCAGGTCCCCATCTCGATTCCTCAGAAACCCAGGGTCCCCCTGCAGTGTTTGGAGCAAATTCTCCAGCGGAGAGCACCAAATCTGGCAGGGACGCTTGTGAAGTTTTATGCTCCTGCTCAAGCAACTCCTGCATGTCTTGTACTTTTTCATCCCAACGACTGGTGCAGGAGAACTGCTCAAGCTCTAGAACAAATGATCTTGGAGTAGATCAAACATCTGTCCCCTGTGATGATGATGATGATGATGATGATGATGATGATGACGAGTTCCATGTTTCACGATTCGTTTTGCTCCCACTCTCGGCGCCAGGGTACCGGGTTGGTTTCGAACCACTTCCAACAGCCTTTTGGGTGCTACAGGCTTTTGGCCAGCCAAAAGCATGTCCATCATGCATGTTCTGCCCACTCCGGAGTGGGGATGCAGGATGTGCCGTTGTTGACCTCCTCTGGTAGTGATCTCCCGCTCGTTAGAGCTAAGTGGCGCCACGGACAGTACACTATACTCCATCAAAGCGGACTACAAGAAACGAAAAACAGCCTTACCTTGCTTCAGCGTGAGGGGCTGTGGAAGCGGCAATGGTATCAAAAAGATGGGTGAGGCAAAGGGAAACAATCCAGCATGCTGGTTGGTTGTTCGTAGACAAGAAGTCTGTCTGTAGAGACTCTGTACAAACCAAAGCACCAACTTAAGTTCCGTGATTGCTATCCAAATATATCCAAACAACCCCCAAAAACAACCGTCTGACAATGCGTTGGACGATGGATTTCATCTGAAACAAGGGATGCTCAGATGGTGCTGTGGTTAAGTTGACTCCTTCTTTGCCTCAAATCCATGCCGCTACAACTTCCATTTCCCAAGGAATCATTTTTTTGCATCTTCAGGCCTTTAAGCGTCTTTAGGCGCTCCTTTCAGGGCCATCAATTTACCAGGAGTCATGTGAGCAAACTTTGTTGCCCACCCCTTTTGTTCACCTGGCAAATCCATTTTTCAATCATCGTACCGGGCACACATACACACACACACATCTCTCTCTCTCTCTCTATCTGTATATATATATATACAGTATAGATTAGGTTGGAGGCCATCGCTTCCAGGTTGGAGGCCATTGCTATTAGGCGCTCTCTCTCTCTCTCCCTCCCTCTCCCTGGAGCCTGGTCGTGGAGCCATGCCGTAGGTCCCTTGTGCGTAGTAGGCCCTAGGGCGAAAGGCCCGCCGGAAGGACGGATTAGCACAAAGAAACACCCCTCTGGTGTTCTAAACACTTAGAACTTATAAGCTTCTTTATTCGTTCCTGGCTTCATTTTTCTCGTAAGGTTGTTGACTTGCACAAATGTAAGATGGACATTTCGAAGAGTTTGCAAGTGCTGTGGCAACATCTTCATTATCTGACCGGCTTTGCATGAAACTATTGGGAGTGCAGCGCGTCTGCTCATGTTCCACTGCTTCGTCTTGAGCCAGCTGCGGTTCCTTCAATGCTCATTGTGGGAGCCTCTTCTGCTGCTTGAAATTGAGTGGCCCAGTCGTTGGGTTGACTTGGAATTGTGTGTTTTCCTCCAAAAAGTGCAACCCGGCCACGAAGAGAAACCAACACCAGGTTCAAACAATCGACTCTTGGATTAAATCAGCAGTGCAGGTCATCAAGGTGACATGTTGCCAGGTGCTCTAAACTCTAAGATGCTCTGCCACTGCAGCACTGCCACAACTGCAAACAAGTAAGTGTAGAAGACCACTCTGCCTGCCTTGGGAGTGGAGTGATTGTAACGGACAAGTTCCGCATGGGATATATGATGGGTATCTCCAATTGGGCGGTCTGTGCTTCATTCATAGCCAACTATCAAATAAAATAACCTACTGACCAGGACTCACTAGGGCACAAGAACAGCAGATCTGGAAGACATGGGCTGCAGTCATCAAAGCTCGGGCAACAGCATGTTGAGCAGCAAGTGCATCATTCAAACACAGTAGTTGAGCAAAGCTTGACAGCCCCAGCACTGAAAACACTTCCCAGAGCGGAAGCAGGCCTAAGAAAGACTTCTTCATTTTCGGCAACGTGGTTCCCTCAATATGCATGCAGAATGCGTTTCCGGATGTTGCAATTGCGTATTCAGTTTGCTTGCATTCGATTAATGTGCCAGATTGGAACCGAGGCATCAAACAACACATCAAACACCTTCACCCCAAGAGACCGTGAAAGAATACAGCGCAGCCTCCAGCTACAAACCAGCCCCAGCTACACTGCCAAACTTTCGCACTAACTTCAAGCTACAAAAGCTGCAAACTACATGGCAGCAAGCCCAGCCAGATGCATGCATGCTGATCAACGAATATATAAATCGTGCCCGTAAGAGAAAAGAAGAACCAGCAACACATATCAAAATCTGAAAGGAAAAGACTGAGAAGAATCTATCTGATGTCTACAATCGAACAACTGCCAGTGAAGTGCCGTCATCCTACAACCTCATTCGCGCAAGCACTTTTTGCGGTGACGCAATTCGCTAAATAGCTGTCAGTCGCCTCAAAAATGCCACTGCGGCTCAGTTCAACCACTTGTTCTCCACAAGCTTGCGAGCCTGCGAGACAACAAGGCCGAACAGGAAGACAGCAAAAGTCAAGCAAATGGCCGTGGCGTTCAGTACCTTTCGGTTGTAGTACTCGGTGGAGTCGGGGTCGATGTTCTGACCAGACTCAGAGCCCTCACCCCATGTGGCAAACGCTGGCAGGGAGCCAGCCATAGCAAGGCCAGTTGACATGGAAGCTGTCTCCAAAACTCGTAGCTGACGCTGAGGGCCCTCCACAGTTCGGGCTGGAGCCTGAACGAAGGTGGTCGACAAGAAGAGCACAGCGGCCATGCACAGGGCCAAAGGCAACAAAGTCGGACGAGCCATCTCTTTCTATGAAGCTTTTGGTTTGTTGCAGCACGAGATACTTTGAGCCAAGCTGCTCCAGTGTGATCACACCAAGGAGTCAATAAGGGGCCAAGCAGAAGGGATTTCACTCTTTAGAGAGCTCACACCATAAAGAGGTAAAGCCTCACATCTTCATTAGAATCTCTGCTTTACAAAACTAACACATTTCCAACAGTTTGCAGGAGCATCCTCCAAGCTCCCCTAAAGAATATTTGCCGAAACTGAGTTGATCACTCCTTTTTGGCGGCGCAGCCATTGACCAGACTGTCAGTCACCTAAAAAATGCCACTGCGGCTCAGTTCAACCACTTGTTCTCCACAAGCTTGCGGGCCTGCGAGACGACGAGGCCGAACAGGAAGACAGCAAAAGTCAAGCAAATGGCCGTGGCGTTCAGTACCTTTCGGTTGTAGTACTCGGTGGAGTCGGGGTCGATGTTCTGACCAGACTCAGAGCCCTCACCCCATGTGGCAAACGCTGGCAGGGAGCCAGCCATAGCAAGGCCAGTTGACATGGAAGCAGTCTCCAAAACTCGTAGCTGACGCTGAGGGCCCTCCACAGTTCGGGCTGGAGCCTGAACGAAGGTGGTCGACAAGAAGAGCACAGCGGCCACGCACAGGGCCAAAGGCAACAAAGTCGGACGAGCCATCTCTTTCTATGAAGCTTTTAGGTTGTTGCAGCACGAGATACTTTGAGCCAAGCTGTTCCAGCGTGTTATCACACCAAGGAGTCACCAAGGGGCCAACCACAAGGGATTTCACTCTTTAGAGAGCTCACACCACAAAGATGTAAAGCCTCACATCTTCATTAGAATCTCTGCTTTACAAAACTAACACATTTCCAACAGTTTGCAGGAGCATCCTCCAAGCTCCCCTAAAGAATATTTGCCGAAACTGAGTTGATCACTCCTTTTT